ATTACTCAGAATTTTATTGGCTGTCCACCAAATGCAAAACATTTTTCAATGCCGCATTCGTTTCGTTTCTTTTATTTACATCTTTTTCGCTTCGCTCAGTCTCAAGGCAAACATAAATCTGCACTCTGTTGAAAGAGTGAAGTCGAGGAGAAGAAAATATTGTCCATATTATTTCGTTGAAAAGCATATAAATTCCTTTTCATGTTTCGTATACTTGAGCAGCATATTTTTTTTTTATGTTGAATTTTAAAATTTGTTCCTCTTGATGGAATTTGCTACACTTACATCGACAATTTCATGTACAACGAGCACTGAAATTCGACGAGGAAAAGAATCAACAGCGGTTGAAGTATACATGCGTTTTTATGTCGGTTGCAGAATTTTGTTGTATTGGCAAAGTGTCTAGACGAGCGGCGAACATGGTGAAAACATATTTTCGAATGAATTCTATGTGACATTTGAAATGTGGTGGTTTGAATTGCTTTTGCGTTGCTTAAATTGGCTTTACAGTTGTCAAATGAAATTTAATGCTAGTCGCTAAAAAATTCAAAACCATTTTTTTAAACGGAAACATACAGGAATTTGAAACTCTACATTGCATTATTATTAGTTGAAAGTGTTTTTCATACTAGTTGACGAACAATATCCATATATATCACTTACAGCCACATGAGTTTATGCGTTGAAAATGGTTTGGTCCGTTTTTCATTAATTAGATCAATATGAAGCTGGTATATTTTTCGTGCGTATTTCTTAATATGTTGCTCATGACGTTTGATAGATGGTATTTAAATTTTGCAATAAAAAGAACACAACGTACGCTTTATATAAAAAAAAGAGGCACTTATCGACAGACTCTTTTCATTGCCAATATCTGCAACTCAGTTTTCCTCAATATTTTTTTTCTCAGTTTTCCTGCGTTCGAGTTTGCAGACCGAACCAATTTACAATTCATAGCACAATTTATGAAAACCCATTGGGATTTTCAATAAAATGCCAGAATCTCTTCAGCCAAGTAACGCACATATGCACAAACTTATTACCTTTCGCTGTGGGACCCACAATGGTGGGTGATGAAGAATTTCAAGTAGAAAGCACTTGAAACGATTGTGCAAAACTCTCTGCCGACATATGAATGGCTGAGAGTGACATTAATTATAATTTTTTTTTCATTTGATTTCATGATTGGATAAAATATTCGAACTTCAAAAGTTTCCAATAAAATATTAAATCCGCAATACAGTTGATAATTCGAAAATAATTATAATACGAATTGAAGCGGTTTTTTCCGTCTTTTTGTATTTACTACACCGAGTTTTTGATGTTGTAACGATCCGATATCATGTAATTTATAGCCAATGATAATAATTTTCAGAACACCACACTAGCTCTGGCTCTGACTGTGGCTCAAAACCAGATTAGTATCGTTCCATCATAGCTACATGGAAATGATGTATTCGAACGCAATGAATGGTTGGAATTTTTCATTAAATAATAGGAAGACAGGTTGTTGCAACACATTTCATGGATATGTGTTGTGAATAGCACGTCGAATAATCCACGTACCAACTGGATCTATTGAAAGTGGATTTACATGGCTCCATGGCTGTGCGCTCGTGTTTAACCACCGCATATTTGCCCAGAAACAATAATAACAGTTAAGCTATAGCGCCAATATCACAAATTCTAATCGCTAGCAAAACGTATTTGAACCGAATGTTCAACCAATTCCACTACAGTTCATCAAACAAAAGTTTCCAAACAAGTGAAGAGTTTGTAATAGAAAACTGATTGAATATAAATCCTCATTTGGTTTTACAGTTTGTCCCGGCATATGCGTGTGTGTATGTGATAAATGTGTGCGAGCACAAAAAACGACGGTATTTTCCGGCCACAAATTCCCTTCACCTGCAGAATTTCTATTGTATTTTGGGTTAAATGCATATTGTAACCTGTTTGAATTGAACTATACAAACTAACCATACAATGTAATATGTGATAGTGCGCATCATATGCGTCATATGATATATTCCAATATTTATTGTATAATTTATTCCAATATCCGTTCAAATTGATGAATAAAAGTGTGGCGAGTGTTTTTTGGACGATGTATTCGCAGTTTTTCCTTTTGTTCAACCACCAAATAAACTCTATTTCTAAAACCCGTCTGGGTTTTTATGCGACAAAGAATGAATCTATGGGCGCTCGTTTATCATTGAATCAACTTGATACACTGAACGCAGATTTATCTTGAATCAAACTTTATTTTGTTGTGTCGCTGATTAAAGAGCAAATGGCTCATAAATGTTCTATCAATATTATGGTGACTTTTTGCACTCACCGCAACCAACTGTCAATTTCAATTAATAATAATATAAATAGTGATCACAGTACATGCATCTACAGTATAACACCCCAAAAAAGTTTTCGGTTCATGTCATTTTTGCGGCTGCTGAATATAGACTCACTTTTATCCAGATTAAACGAGATAACATGAAGAAGCGATACGCAGCCAAAAATCTGTGAACGGAAATGGAACTTCAACCTAACTATATATATATATATATCGACTGAATAAAAGAACGCACACTCTCTTCATGAATTGCTCGAGTGATGCGTTGAATGACGGAGAAGTATATGCAGAAATATCGATAACTTATCGTTTTTCTACATGCGCTCATACTTCGAACGTGCCACCGATTATTATTGGCGGTGGCGTCGTCTACAACGTACAACAAAATAAAGCAAGTGACGGAAAATTGCTTTTTGTCATTTTCACTCGAGTTCGTCTCTCCCTTCGAAACAAACAACAGGAAAAAAAAAAGTTACAACAAGAATATACAGCGCATACTGAGTGACAAGCTGAGCTGAAAAGAAACGTAAAAGATATTCTCGGCGAGAGGTTGAAGTCGAACGCCGTATCATCATTGTAGACAAAATAACAGACGGTTCAGTTTATTAAAAAAAGAAAGAGAAAAACAAAGACGAACTCATCGAAGCGAATCAATAAATTATGATATCGCCATTGCTGAGCATAGCATGTGATGTAAATGCATTTAATAGTCTCAGCATTTTTATGAAAGAAAACATTCCGCAAGCTATAGCTGTAAGCTTCACATTAATACTTTTCGCATGTTGAAAAATATCTGTGTCGAATTTTTGGAATCAACAAAACGTGCAGATATTCGTTTTTTTACCGTTGCTTCATGACACTTTTTAGCTTATTTAAAAGAAATAGCGATGCCTGAACGAATCACAATAAACAGCCGGTTTATTACAGCTATACTGGTGATGTCGTCGGGCTCTTAATGAACAGTCCAAAAGCCACAATGACAATGACTGTTATTTGAGCACCTTCTTATTGGCACTTGTTAAGGAATCAGATAAAGTATACCTTTATGTTTATGTTTGCTATTTTTGACTTGTTCATCGATTTTGTTGTGTCTATACTGACAACCAAACTACCAACAACATGTGTACATCATCATTTGAAGATTATTTAATGGATTTTCCCGGAATGAAAGCATTTCATTTTCAAAAATACTCTTTAGATATTTGTTCAATTTCCGAAAAGCATCAATCTCATACCCTTTTAAAGAATAATTTGTTCAATTACTTTAATGCACGCTGCATGCATTTTAATTTGAACCGAAATCAGAAATCATTTGTTCAGCTTCCCCATTCGTTAGCTCTCAAAGGAAGCTACATTGTTGAATGTCTTTCATTGACCAACGAGATCATGCACTTGGTGGTTCATCACAATAGAAATATTTGTTGGTAAACCGGATTTTCACTTTCTGTTTGTTTACATTGTATTCGACGTACTTCGTCTCTATCTCACGAATAAATTTAATCTAATTTTTATGAATGATATTGTTTTCTTTCCAATTCGGAAAAAGTAGAAATCAAAGCACACAGCCTTCGTCGTTGATAACATTAATAACAATGGACGGTAGGGGAAAATAAGAGCATTAAAAGTATCCCATTGGCCATGACTTGAATTGAATTTTTTTTTCCGTTTCGGTGTTTTGTTCTTCACGAAAACCCAAAATCAATATCATGCACTGGAGACACAAAAATTGTGTACGTACCAAACAGATATATATATAAATACCAATTGACGATTTATTGATTTCGGTGTGAGTACGATTTTATCGTTTGGGACCGATTTCGTCTTTTTTTCGGAAGAGGAAGCCATTTGCAAGACCTGGTGCGACGATGTGGAATTGGTCATGTGCCCGTAATGGTGTTTAAAATTGCACACACACCGAACAGCCATAAAAGTGAATTTATTTCTTTGGCTTTTTTTTTATCTATGGGCGTTCACCATGCTGTGGCATGTGTGTGTAATGAAATTTTGTTTGATTTTTTTTCATCTTTGTCAAAGGCTGCTTTCGCCACCAAACTGCTCGTGCTGTGTGTTATTCGAAAACCAGTTAATTTTGTGACGATGTTTGAAATTTGTTTTTTTTTAACAGTACTTTTTATCAGATCTTTGTTGAATAACCTCAAAATAAATCGATGGACTGAGCATAAAACACGCATTAAAATGTCTTGTTTCATTTAAAATTGTGGCGTGCCATAAATAATAACAAAATCGATTGGACAAACGTTTGTGTTTTTGGCTGATATATGAAAAAAAATGAGTTTGAAGTTACATGAAACGTGGCGGAAATTGCTACCGATCAAACACAGAAGTTTGGATGATAATAAATGTGTTCTCACAAAAGGAAAATTGGACGAAATCTCACTGATGCTCACAAATGGTTCGCCATGAAAAATCAAAGCCATTTTTTTTGACTCGTCTATGGATAGAACTATTAATTTCGTGAGTTTTGAGCAACATACACGATTTGGAAATCGAATGGACAATCTTCTGATGATATCATTTTACAATGTATTCTAGTCTAACCAAATAAACTTAAGGTCAATATTTTCACAAAATCCCTGATTTGCAATTGCTTCACAATATGAATTTTATAAATAACAATGTTGCTTACTTATTCCAAGATGGATAATATAAACCAAATATTACGAACCTGAAACGAAACGAAACGAAATTTATTAGCAAATGAATAAAACACGATATTTCAAATTCGATAAGAGGCCAGACTCTATTGCAGGCATTTGACACAGAGCACATAAAATGCGAGCATTCGTATCAGGGACAGATCAAATGGAGTAAATTCGTGATAAGTGTCATTGAGAGATTTGTGTGGTATTGATCTGAGCGACAGAGTCAAAGACAAAGCCCCGCGACAAAGTGCAAATGTATTGTGTTGTTGACACTACATTAAATAATGTTAAGAATCATTTTGAATCCGAAAGATTACATCGAGCCAACTAAAAAAACACAAACACACACTCAACAAGCAAAAAGCCGCTGCATTAATGTACGTATATATACATTCGTTTGCTGAGCGTTGTTCTGCTCTTATTATTTACAACATTAGAAGCGAGTGGGTTGGTTACGGCATCGCGGATAGATAAAAAGGATGAGACCGACAATGTAGGAATGACGAAACAATGGACGATTGAAACAAGCGGAAAAACAATGTTGAAGCAGTTTTTTTTTCGCCATTTTAATTTATTCGTCTTCTTTCTTATGCTCACGACTCAGTTCTGTTGAAACAACGAAGCTCCTCAATACTCTTTCTCTCGAGATTTTCCTATAGCCACATACAGCTAGATTTAAACTGAACGTCCAGAGTCAAACCGTGAGTTGCTTGCAATTTTGATTCTTTTTTTTCTCCTTCTCTTACTATACTGTTCATTCCAGTCTGCCTTTAGTTGACTTCCTTCGTATTTTTGTCTGCAAAATGCTAATGAGAACGCAAAATGGGACCCACGCGAAGATGCACCGAGAAAAAAAAACGACCAACAAACTAAAGAGAAAATGTTTACGATGTCTACGCGTAGGTGTAATTCGAAGTGAAACGACTACTGGATATTTTCCGAATCCATTAAGCCGTAATCGTAAAGACTACTCGCTATTTGCTTAGCACACACTGCCACATGATACAAACGAGTTGTATAAATGTAGTAAATTCTTATAAGATCAACGGAAATTTTATAGCTGTATACAACTATTTGAATATTTGTTTCGTATGCACCGTTTTTCACTCTGCGTACAGTTCACTTCGCACGCCGGTTTTTATTTTCATTTCACCATTGGTACGGAAGGATAGAGCGAATGAGAATAAAAACACGCACTTATGGAGATGAACTTGTACAACACCCAAGCTGAGTGCTGAGAATATCTCAACGACCCTCCCCGAGAAAAAGTTTTTTTTTCCCCAGAAACACACTTCAACTTCGACCGTTTTACGAATTCGCCTAATATTCGAATCATCATGTGTGCATTTTTATATTCCAACACATGCGCATCCGGGTGTTTGTGTTAAATCGTATGCCTTTATGCACGCGTCAGAATGAATGTGTGAGGTATACGACGTGATCATGTTTGCATTACTTTCGTCAGAAATTGTATGTACCGACGAATTTTATTTGTTTAGTTTTGTTTGTTTAATTTACCACCCGATGCATCACACAGCACGCACGAATGCGAATTCCAGGCACAATCAAAAAATGGCTACTCATCCTTCGAAATAATCATTACTTCACTCTGTTTCGAGCAAATTAATTCATGGGCTTAATTTACGAATCAAACATTTGTTTTGCCAAAACTCTCGGCCCATCATTCTTATCTGCAGTGAGTCTCACATTTTGGCAGCATTTTTATTGGGATGCATGGCGCATAGTATCCAAAATTGTGAATTTCTGACTCAAAAATTCATAGCAAAAAATGAATGGGATATATTGCACATAAAGGACGTAAAAATAATAATGAGAAAATAAGTGTGCCTGTTTTTACACCTACCCGACTAGAACATGTAAATTTAAAATCCAAATGAATATAAATTGCCCCTAAATATTACCGTGCACAACACAGTGTATTTCCACAAACAGAATAAAATCGACAATTAATTGATGTTTTCCGGTCGTTGTCGAGATTGTAATCAACTACTTTCACATTTGAAAATGCACACCATTTTAGCAAAGTTTTGATTTTTCATGTAAAGAACTGGAAGAACATGAATGAAATTGAGCTGGACTATGTGATTAGCAGCGCAAGTGGTTTTTAAAGTGTTTCAACTTCTTGTTTGAGCGGAAATTCCACGTCATTTTATAATTATAGAATTTTCAACAGATATGTGCTCTGAGCTATTGCACCTAGTTCAATCATATTCCATGGAATGAATTTGAGTTATTTGCTTGCAATAGCACACACACACACACACACAGAGAGAGAGAGAGAGAGAGAGAGAGAGAGAGAGAGAGAGAGAGAGAGAGAGAGAGAGAAAAGTAGTACCAACAGGAGCACAGAATCTGGCAAATCACAACGGAAAGAATAATGGCATGGCCCAGCATTTGGGATTTCAACGTACATTTGAGTTAGAAACTCTGGAGATTGGACAATTGGCCAAATGTACTACATAGAAATGTCTGATGCAATTATCGATTCCAAAATGACAGCACTAGCGTTGAAGTATTCCTTGTTTACGTTCATTAAGACGATTTATTGGGCGCAATTGTTAAATGAAAATTCGATGTGAAATAAGTCGTGCAATCGTTTGTTTCATCCTTTGATAAAATGCCGCTGCTCCTGAATTAGATGCTCAAGAGTATTTTCTAGTCAATTGATACGAATGTATTTGGAAGAAGACGAGTCGATTCGTCTGTCGTTATCAGTTTTGCCTTTATCAAATCGTTGAATAGGTTGTGTACACATTCAACGAAGTGTCACATCAAACCATTAATCTCGTTGATGGTACTCATTCAATACGTATTCTTTGGACTGTGAATGTAAGAGAGTTCACTGCAATCTGCCCTTATGTGATTTAGCTTCACTGCTATGCAATTTATTTTGCCTCACAACGTACTATAAATATATGTGTAAAAAGCAACGAACAGAGCGAAGAAATAAATGATTAAGAGACTCGAAATTGGCATGAGAAAAATGAAATGGTTTTGCTATTTGCTGTATCTATTTTACATTCGTACGTTCGTCTGCCTTGTTTATTTTATTATTTGCGAGAGGAAGACGCGCGAGCAATTTTTCCATCGATGTAATTATACAGCAATTTAAGTAGAACGATGAATCGTATGCAATTTAATTCTCTACATTTGGCGCTAGGTTTTTTTCTGTCGATGCATTCGATAAAGCACGAAAGATCTCATGGTTTTATCGAAATTCAGACGATAAGCAGATGCATTTGTTTCTGGATAATTGCTATCGGAAAATCTCTTCTTTACTCTCTAGTCAGTTATTTTCTGCATAAAATGTTGTAAGCATTTTCTGTTAAATTTTCTCGTTTTTTAAACCCATGTTAAATTCAAAACCATTGACAAAATATTCAAAAAAAATTCCACAAATTCTATCTCGGTTCTTTTTATTATTACATTAACAATTTTTGCTATTATCCGACTCTCATCGTTTTTCATTGAATGCGCTGTACAAAAGATCAAGTGAAATTATTTCGGTACCCAGACATTTTTATTCTACACCTCAGCATCATAACAGTGAATGTCGACTTTGGGTGGTTTAAATTGCCACGATTTTGTTCATTTTATTATGTAATGATGCAAGTATTTTCAATTTTCTTTCATTTACAACCTTGCCGTATTTTATACGGGCTTATGGCGCTGAATGATTATGGTTGACTATGAATTTCTTCTGCTTTTGTTTTTGTTCTGTGTGTAAGTGTTGGCTTGTTATTGTTCTTCATTCCATCGTGATTCGGTTCCTTTTGGTTTTAGATGTTTCCATCGTTTCGATATTTATGGCCACAAAAATCGTTGTACCTGTTGGTTAATGAGACTAACAAGTCACTTTGGCTTGATATATGAATCAAAAGCATAATACTTAGATGATGCACCGAACCGTGTCTGAAATGAATATTGAAGCCTGAGATAGGAGAAATTCTTTTGATAATGACAATGTAATGTGGCCCGGTTGTTTATGTGCAACGATAAAAATTTCGTGGAAATTTAGTCAATTGTGAAATTGAAACAGTATCTGCTCATGTTTGGTGTCTGTACAGTTTAACCACCACAAATAATGCACTCTAATTACGTGAATTGACGACGCAGCGCTTCTCTCGAAACTGACTTCGTTCATAAAAAAATTACTGACTGCGAAGAAGACTTTTCAATATGCAGCCAAATCGTTTCCGTTTGGCCACTCCATGGTGAAAGAACGACAGCGAGAGTGGGTTGAATGTTCTTACAAAATGTGCACTTTTGTCGAATCATTGCCATCCGATGGCCTCACGTTCAAAACTAAGTGCTCCGCCATTTATATGGTTTTTCCATTTCCTTTCACTTCCGCATCATAGTTATAATCATGTTTTTTTTTGCATTATTCTATGAATTTTGCAAGAATTTCAAGCGGAAAAAACCTAATATTCCAACTGCTGTTTAAAGTGTTAATGAAGTGTCCGACTTGTATTTTTGTCGGAAGAATATTCAAGTTGTCAATGAATTTCTCGCAATCATTTTAATTTGGAATGAAGAAATATGTTTCAATTACGATATGCCAAGAGGGTGATTGATAGTCAATAAGCGATAGAGGATGTTATGAAGTTTGATTACTGCAGGCATATCTGTCTCTTTCTATTCATTTCGTTATAAAAAGAACATCGAGCACAATCGAACTGCACTGCGCAAGAAAAATTGAGAGAAAGGTGTTAATGCCGACGGATAGTTTGGGTCATTGTGACTGTTTGCCTAAGGTGCATTGCATGCCACATTGTAAACCGTCGCTACTTCAATTTCTATTTCCTTTTAATACGTGTTTTTTTTCTGTTGCGTGCGACTGGAACGATGTTCACATTTTCATACACACAAAAAAGTGCCGACACTTTGAAATGAAAATTAAGTAAACGTTCAATATATCTTATTGAAACAAAGCCGTATATATTTTTTTTCACATTCAGCTAAATAACGTGCAAATTGCTTAAGAAAAGCGAGTGAAAGG